TCTACATTCAGAAATACGAGGACGCATTTGGGTCGCACCTGGGTCCCTTCATCGAGAGCACCTGGAGTTTCCTCATGTCCGTTGGCCTCGAGACCAAGTACGACATCGTGGTCAGCAAGGCGCTACAGTTCCTCACCGCCGTTGCATCTACACAACACGCCGAAGCCTTCAACAACGAGTCTGTCCTAGTCCAGATCATCGAGAAGGTCATCTTGCCAAACCTTACTCTGCGCGAGTCTGATGTGGAACTGTTCGAAGATGAGCCGATTGAGTTCATCAGGAGAGATCTGGAGGGGTCCGACAATGATACGCGTCGACGTGCTGCCACTAACTTCCTGCGTAAACTCATGGACCGCTTCGAGGGACTTGTCACGACTACTTCCCAGAAGTACATCGACGCCTATCTCCAGAACTATGCGGCCGACCCACAAAACAACTGGAAGTCAAAGGATACCGCAGTCTACCTCTTCACCGCCATTGCTGCCAAGGGAACCGCTACCGCTGGTCAAGGTATCATGAGCGTCAACGAGAACGTCAACATTTTCGAGTTCTTCCAGACACACGTCGCCGCTGACCTCCAGGCTCAAAACGTATCACCCATCTTGAAGGTTGATGCCATCAAGTTCCTGTACGTCTTCCGCAGCCTGCTATCACCAGACCTTTGGCCCGCTGCTTTTCCCCTGCTCGTGAACCAGTTGGGCAATGACAATTACGTCATCCACACATACGCTGCCATCGCTGTCGAACGTGCTTTGTACATGACAGACGACAAACGCCAACCCATAATACCCAAGTCAGACGTTGTTGGCTCATCGAAAGACTTGTTGACGCACTTGTTCAAGCTTATCACAATGAGCTCTGCCCCGGAAAAGATTCAGGAAAACGAGTTCCTGATGAAGTGCGTTATGCGCGTACTCATTTTCATACGCGATGATGTGCTGCCCATATGCGAGTCGATTCTTCAAAGCTTCATCAACATCGTCAAGGTCATAAGGCACAACCCTAGCAACCCTCGCTTCCAGTACTACATGTTCGAAGGTATAGGAGCACTTGTCCGCTTCTGTGCCCCGAAGCATCCTCAGTTCTTCGAGGAAAAGCTTTACGAGCCATTTGCAACCTGCTTGCAGAACAACGTGGAGGAGTTCTCTCCGTACATATTCCAAATCTTCTCCGCGCTGCTAGAGGCAAACCCTTCAGGCCAACTGAGCGAATACTACAGGGGTGTATTTGGCATTATCCTCAAGGGTGCGGTCTGGGAGCAGCGTGGTAACGTACCTGCGTTAGCCCGACTGTTGAGTGCAATGGTTGCTCGTGACGCACATAACATCGTGGCAAGCAGCCAATTGGAGCCTATTCTGGGTATCTTCCAGAAGCTGGTCACTAGCAAGGCTCACGAGACATACTCGTTCGAGCTGATTGAAGCTGTCGTTGCGCACATCCCAGCGGATGCGCTACAACCTTACTTTGTCACCATCCTCCAGCTAATGCTCACAAGACTGTCGAACATGAAGACAGAGAACTTCCAGCAGCGCTTCATTGCGTTCTACCACTTCGTTTCAGCGCGACTGGACAAGGGACTTGGCACCGACTTCTTCATCAAAGAGTCCGACAAGGTTCAGAATGAGTAAGTGAAAGATTCTCCAATTTGTAAGCATCAATTGCTAACTTCATAACAGCATCTTCAAGCCTATTTACTTGACTGTCATTCTTCCCGACACCCAGAAGCTTGCCCGCCCAACCGACCGCAAGACCGCAGTTGTGTCTTTCACCAAGTCTCTGGGCGATGCGGAAGCTTTCGTTAGCCGTTACCCCAAGGGTTGGGCCCTTACCACACAGCGCTTGATCGAGCTACTGGTCAACCCGCCTATGCCCACGTCCGCAGATGACATCATCCCCGATGCCGATGTCGACGAGCTCGGTTTTGGTGTCGGTTTCACCCAGCTGAACACCTGCAAGAAGGCTCCACGCGATCCCTTCCCGGAAATCACCGATGTGAAGGATTGGGTGGCTCAATATTTGAAAGATGCGGATGCACGTCACGGCGGCCGTATCATCAAGATTGTGCAAGAACGATTGGACGATGTTGCGAAGCAAGCTTTGGCTGCTTACTTGAGCTAGAGCAGCGGGCATATTTAAGAGGCGCTCAGAAGATATGAGAGGGTAGGTGCGCATGATAGCATGCGGGGTTAGGCGCAGGTAAAATAGGATTTAGGACAAATGATACCAGGTAGAGAAAAAGTGGTGGATATTTTCCTATGAAGGGGAACACACTCTGAATACATATCGCAATTGCACACCATGTGCACAACCAAATCACGCGTCTTGCACCTCATAGCTAACCTTAGTAATCCCCTTCTGCCTCTTGATATTCCTCACGACAACCCTCCCACACTCCTTCAACCTCTGCACATGCGTCCCGCCACACGGATAACTCCCCTCACTCCCTATCTCCACAACCCGAACCCCATCCTCTTCATCCCCCTTCAGCGTCTCCATAACCCCCGTGCACTCCTTCTTCGCCTTGTCCTCATCCCAGAAATGGATTTTGACGTCCATGTCCGCGGCAACCATCTCATCGACTCTAGCTTGAATTGCAGCTTTTTTGTCGCCCGGGATGAGACCCGAAAACTCTACAAATGCGGCACCGGGGTAGTGCGACGCCTTTCCGTCGACGACGTCGGGAGCGATTGAGCCTGTGGTTTTTAGATGGGCGACTGCGAGACCGATGACGTGGCCCGCGGTGTGGATCCGGGAGTGTAGGTGGCGTTTCGAAGTGTCGATTTTCTGCTCTGCTTCTACTTCTCCTCCATTTGCATTGAATTTCTTGTCAGAGGGAGAGAAGACGCCCATGTGCAGGATTGCGGGATCGACCTTGCGGACTTGGTGCACGTGGAATGTGGTGCCGCTGGTGGAGATTGTTCCAACATCCGAGGGCTGACCGCCGCCCTGGGCGTGGAAGATGGTTGAGTGGGTGGTCAGGACATAGGGTTCGGTTTCTGGTGGTGGTTTGAAGAGGGATTGAGTATCTGCGGGTAGGGATGACAGGGCGTGGATTGAGGTTATGGCAGAGGTGTGGGTATGTTTTTGGCCGTCTTTTTGGTAGAGGGGGTCTGTTCTTTGGGATAGAGGGTCTGCCATCTTGGTGATGGGTCGAGAGGTATTGAAGATGAAATTCTTAGTGATTCTGTCGTAGGTGTGGCGGGCTGATGATGCCCGTTTTGGTGTTTGTGTTGTAGTGCCGCGGAAGAGGATTGCGCACGCTGTATACCTAGAAAATCTACAGCACATGCGACCTTCTTTATGCTCGCCTGCTGCGACGGATGTTAAATTGAGTCACTTGAAATTATGGAGGGCCTAACAGCCAAAGGAATGTTCCAGATACTTTGGAAGCGTAAAGTAGGGGTCAGAACTGCGCCCTTGAGGTTTACATGCGCTTTACCGCTTTAGGCAGGTACCAATTCCTGTCCTGACGTCTTCTCTTCTTATACGTGAAACAAGAACGTAGCATATGGATGTAACCATTCAAGTTGTAGGGACTCATAAATTATTGTATTACGTTCTCAGTCGCCTTAGTGAGAGGGGGTAGCGACAAAAGGTGCTGTGTTGATGAAACCGTTACCAAGACCTGTTCATCTTCCGACTTCGGAACCTTTTTATCCACGAAACTCTGTATCCTCAAGCGTCTTGATCGTCACAAAACGTGTGAGACCATCGGCTTCCACCATTCAGAGCATCCGCAGCATCTATGGCCCTCCATGGGAAGACGCGCTGTATGCCCGCTTCTTCACAATGCTGCTGCAGGATGCCTTGCAAGTCGAGCTTCGCACCCCACTTCCGCGCCATCACCCCAATCGCCAATGGCTTCATGACTATGGTAGCCTCAAAAGTCCGGTTGTCGTTTGCGCTGCCGGACAGACTCGTGTAAGGGCTCAAGAAGTCGATCGAGGTGTCTGGGAAGAAGGTGCACTCTTCCCAGGCTTTCGTCAATAGCCCTCTTGAAGTTTTCGCTAGTCGGTCTATCGTAACGGCCTCTTTGTTCCAGTGGGCGTTTGTACGAAACTGATAGGTCGAGCGACTACGGCCAGAGGTTTGTGGGGTGACTACTTTGCTCCGCATCGAGTCGCCTGGTCCGCCGTACTCATCGCATTCTGAGTGCACCGTCACAAGAATACTGTTGTCAGCGAAGAGCCTCTCGATGAAAGCATCAACACAGTCGATGGAGATATCTCGATGCAATGTCGGTAGCAGAAAGTGCACATAGGGGCGTTGCCGCTTCTGATACCAGCCCTTCCCGACAAGGAACGTGCTGGACTTCTCGAATGGTTGAGAGCCGCATGTGAGAATGCCGTATTCATGTAGTTCGATTAGCCCACGTAATATTGGCGCAGTCTCTTTGTCGAGAGGACCGAGATGGCCTGGATTGACGTCGATGTTCCCATGGAGGAAGTCCAGGTTCCTGAAGTTAGTTATTGGCGTCAGTTTACATCTCACATGCAGCTTCTGCAGCATTACTCACAGACATAAGAGAGCTTCCCAATTCGGAGCAGACTCCCACTGGTCATTCCGTCCCTTCCAACGGCACCTTCTGCATAGGCCTAGTTTGCTTGATAGGCCAGCATAAGGCATGAGTATGAGATCGCCATGGCAATCGAGGTTAGTTGGCTCATCGCAGCGCGTGCATGCAGCCATCGCGGGTTGTTGTTGCGAGACTGTCACTCGATCAAGGTAAATGGAAAGAGAGAGAAGGAGAGGTGTTGCGGAGTCGAGTGGATGCACACTCGCTTCCAAGGTTGTTTATCTACCCTCGTGTTGATTGTGTGTCACCGATGACGCAGGCAGGCACTTCCCCATCCGTCGGCCCTCGCTTGCTCCACCGCTATCGCTATCGCACCTTCTCTCACCTGCTCATGCCACCTTCCCTAGCCCAGAGCGCAGAAACTAAGTTCTGAACAGGGAAGTCGCGACGATGCGCACCGGATGAATCACAGAACGCGACAACCTTAGGAAAGATATTTGGTAGCCACCTCGCGCCTCAAGGTCGCTCGATCATAACGCTGACCGCCCTCATTTGACCAGTGAGCAACCACCGGGCTCTGCGTCTTCCGCCCCTCAAAGATGTCGCCCGCATCAACCCGGCTGGTTTCCTGGAGAGTCTTATTGGCTACCGGAGTGTCATTGTCGAGGTTCGAGAAGCTATCGCGCTGAGGCCTAGTCGAGAAAGCTTTGGAAAGCCTGGGGTTGATTGGAGAGGGAGCCTGATGGGCGGACGGTAAGAATTGACGAATGCGAGGTCCCAGAGATTGTTTGACTCGAAAAGGTGAGCCTTCGATGTGTGCGTTGACGGGACGATGATGAGGAGGTGCTAGCTTGCGCATGATGGGTGTTTCTTCGCGGGGGTAAGACGAGGGACGCGGAGTGAATGGTCGGTGTTCGTCGCTATGATACTCCTCGCCGTCGATATCCATCTCCCCAGCCATTTCGCTCTCCGACCAGTTCTGCTCGGACTTTGAAGCCACACCAGTCTTTGAGTTTCGGTTCAGGATGAGCAGCCAAGTCGAGACGCCTAGCAGCGTCACCAGGAAGAGTGTATAGGCCTGACCATTGGGATCAAGCATCCAGTATTCGAGACAGCTTCCGCGGAAGAGAAATGCGAAGGAACCTTTGAATGAGTCGATAGTGTCCTGGACGAAGCGCTCAAGACGAGTAGGTGGCTCATGATTGATCAAAAAGCCCGACATGATGTTATCAGGCAGCAGTCAATTCTTGGTGATCGGATCAAGTGGTGGGAGACTGGACTCAAAAGATCAAATGAACGGAAGTTATAGGTGACCGCGAGCGTTTGTTGTGATGTATCGGCGCGTGATTACTGCACGGTCCTCTTGATTGAGTGAATCAGTTGTTTCTTAATTCTTGTCCATGTCTCATGTGATGAAAACCTGTGATTTGCCACGTAGTTGCTGTGACAACAACTGCATTCTTTCAACGCTCTTCAGTAATAACGTCCCAAACTTCCAAACATTGCAGTAGTCCGGCGACATTGATCTCCGGCAGCTTCACCGCGCAGTATCTAGACCTCAGACCTGCTCCAAAACAACCGCATATCGCTGCCAACACCCTAGCTCCAACCAGCCTTCCCAAACGCCGCATTCAGTGGCGGTCTCTTTGACTGCGGCCTCGGTAAAGTGCTTGTAGGAACACTGAATAGCGGTCTCCGCGCTGGAGGCACCTCCTCCGGCCTACTTGAGCCAAATGCTCGCTCCTCCACGAATGGCTTCTCCATACCCTCTTTCTTCCACCTTTCCTGGACCCGGTTGAATTCCATACCTGGTGGAAACATGGGGGTCTCTTCGCGTCTGTGTCTGTATGGCGCCGATCTAAATGGATCAGCGGGCTTTCGCGTACTTTGCAGCCGGAGGATAAAGCGGGCGAGCTTATACACGACTCCGATACCGATTGCCAGAGAAAGCATTTGGATGCAGTGAGGATGTTTATCGTAAAGCGCGAAGGAGGCAAGGACGACCCCGGTATTCAGCTCGAGCCACACTAGGAACGTGAGGATTAGGGCTCCGATGTTTGGCAGTAGATGCTTCGCCGATTCGAGCATTGCTTTTAATAGGCCATGAGATGATGCGCGCATCCAGAGAAGGGACATTGTGGAACTGGGTTGAGGAGCGTATTTGTCTGGCCGTTGGTGGACATTTAAGGAATGCCTGCGGAAGCAACGGGACCACGAATCTTTCACTAGAATCATGGATCTGCTTTCACTCGAAAGTACAGGCCCTTCTGGGAGGTAAACAAACCGCCATCCCCTGGTTCTGCTAGCTTCCTTTACAGTGCCCTCGTAGCCTCTGTCAACCTTCTACACCCACACTATACGAACACGTTTGCACGGCAGTTTGTCATAACAACGGCATCACAATGTCTCAAGAAAAGGTCGATATCGTGATCGACATGTTCATCGTTTCACTCTCCCCCTTTCACATCGTCCGATCCCGGTTCAAGTGCGTGCAGCATGGCCCCCACTCCGCGCGATCTTGAACCAAATGCCATCGACCATTTCTTTACTGTGATGATGGCACTAGCCGTCGCTTTGATAGTACTGCTCTTCATCATCATAGTCAGATATGAGAGGCGCAACGCCTCGTGGATACGACGCGGGCTGAGGGCGGGGAACGAGAACTGGTTTATTCTTAGCTATGGAACAGGTATGCGTGTGGCGCATGTGGATCCTGATGGGGTAAGTGTTGGTTATGAAGAGGTAACATGAGCCGTGGAATGAGGTGTCTCTGTGTGGAAGAGTAGTCTTTGGTGCGATGGATGTAGCGAGGTACGTATAATGCTTTCGCGTCTCAATCATGTATATGAAGGATTTGTCTAGCTTTGGAGCATGAGAGTATCAATGTGATGGGTTTGACATACACACAGCCTCGAAGTCCAGCGTCAACATCACGATAGACTCACACTAACGATGTATCCGAAGGTAGGGCGGACCAATAAGAAAGCGAGTCCAATAGCCAGTCTCGAGCATGATCCCATGCACTCTGTTGTGGAGTTGTTTCTAACCTTCTTGATTCTCATCGTCCCTGTCTGCGCGGATCGGGAGCGTAGAAGCCCGTAGTTGATGTAGTGGCCGTCGGTTTGCCTCGTTCGGTGGCCGTCGGTCTGCCTCGCTCCACCTCGGTACCTCCTTTGCCCGCACTCTCATTTCCTACCGCAAGAGTAGACATTACGCTAGCTAGCGACTGGCCGCGCGGTTTGGTGGGCGCGCTGGGAGCGCCCATGCTTCCCGCGCTCGTTGTTGTACCACCCTGAGCTGCTGTATCTCCTTGCGTCACATCCGGCTGCTGCTGACCGCGCTGTACTGGCGACCGCGAGTTCTTAGGCGGAGGAAGAGCACGATACCGCTTCCTAAGCTCCTTAAGCCCAAGTTCGGTTGTAGCAATCAACTCTTCTTCTGTTTCGACAGCAAGCTCGAGCTCGTTCCATAGCTTCTGGACTTCTTCGTCCGGTTGTGAGCTCTCGTTGCCTCGACCCTCTGGTATGCGTATCGGAAAGAATTCGGGTTGCGGCTGCGGGTTCTCGTCGGGGTACACTGGCGACTGGGGTGGTGCGCCCTCAACGTGGGTATACAATCCGACACCTGTTATGTAGGGGGTTGTGCCGGGCGGGCAAGTGCTCTTGAAGGCACCGATCAAGTCGGCGTTCATGCGAGCTTTGCGAGCGGCTGCCACATCGGGCGGGAGAGGCGTGGTGCTCGTGGGTGGCTTTTCGAATACCGGTGGGTTGGCGGCGTTCTGTTCACGCGCGGCTGAGGAGGTTTGGTCTGCTGATGAGATCATGGCGGCCCGGTCTGGATGAAGATAATGTGAAATCGCACTCTGCCGCATGTTAGTGCTCTTTCCCGGTCTTGCTTTGAACATTGTTCGGTCGGTGAAGGTTTGCAGCTGACAGCAATGAAACGGTGGTATTGGGGTTTTGGTAATCCGCAGTAATGTTTGGGGTTGTGTCGCTTTCCAATCGCTCGCATTCACTACCCAGCTTGCGGTGTTGAGAAGGAGCCATGGCGTTTGCTGTCTTTCCGCGGACGCGCTTACTCCAATTGAAGATATACATACCTGAGATCCCTGTATCCGTTGAGCGTTCCTACCATAGTGTCGTGGATGAGGGTAGCGACGATGCTCTCGTCTACTCAATCAGGGGACCAACGTCGCGTGAAGCTGACCTCGGAAGTCGCGCCGTTATCGATAACAACCGCCCCACTATGCCCAACACGTCATAGTTCCAGACCTCCAGCCTCGCCAACACGCAGACCATGCAGGCGTCCATCAACGCGTCATGACGAGATCATCAACGATCCGCTCCCGATGCAAGCTCCACAGCATCCAGGAACGCGCCAAAAGGAAAAAGTGCTGACATCAAGACAAAATGGCATTGGCTGCTTTCGCTCCGCGGAAGGCGGCTCGTCACGGTATACCATGACCTCAGATCTTGTGCTAATACGATGGATGCTGCTGTCCTGTGACACATGCTGTAACCATGCAGTCTACTAAGTTATTTAGAGGTGCCGTCTCCCTGCGTTGCTGCAAGTCATCTTTTATAACTACATCATCCTTACCACGCGTATCCGCCGCTGGGATCACTTTTACTATATCCAGAGCTTATTCGTCAACGCCCCCGAACAATAACGACCGTCTCAAAGGCCCAGTTGAAACACCCTCCACTATGCAGTCAGTAAAGAACGCTATCGCCGAGAATCTCGGCAAGGTCGTCTCAGGCGCCCATGATCTCGCACCCGCAGACCAGCGATTTTCGCTTGAGGAAGTGCCAGATCTCAGCGGCAAGGTCGCCGTTGTGACCGGTGGCTCAGAAGGAATTGGTTACGGATGCACACACACCCTTCTCTCCCACAACATCAAGAAGCTCTTCATCATCTCCATGAGCGAAGACATCATCGACGATGCACTCAAAGCCATCAAGGAAGAGATGGGCGAGGACAAGGCCAGCAGAGTCGAATGGATGAAGTGCGATCTCTCGGACTGGGAAGCTACTGGCAAGGTCGCTTTCGAAATTGCCAAGAAGACAGACCGCATTGATATCCTGATCAACAACGCCGCGAGAGGTATCATGACATACCAGCTCGCCAAGAACGGCGTCGATTTACATATGGCTATCAACCACATGGGCCATGTAGTCCTGACGTCTCACCTACTGCCTTTGATCAAATCCACAGCCGACAAGGGCAACAAGGTCCGCCTTGTACAACTCGGATCCAACGCACACGAGAGCGCACCCAAGGACGTCAAATTTGAATCTCTCGAGGAGCTCAACCAAGACCTCGGCGCCATGGGACAGTACGGCCGCACAAAGCTCGCTTCCATCCTATACGCACGCTACCTCGCTCGTCACCTCTCTACTTCGCATCCCAACATCCTGTCCAACGCCACACACCCCGGTTTCGTTGAGACACGGCAGTCTGTTGACATGATCCACGAGCCCTACCCGTTGGGCGGATATGCTATGAGCGTTGGTATGGCGCCGTTCAAGAAGACACAGTTTGAGGGTTGTGTAAGCACCATGTATGCGGCTACCAAGACTGAGGGTACTGGCGAGTACGTTTGCCCTCCTGCGATACGGGAGCCGGGTAGTAACTTAGCGAACAACGAGAAGCTGGGCGAGCAATTGATGGATTTCACTACGAAGTTGGTCAAGGAGAAGACTAAGAGCTCGAGTGCTGACAAGGGGTGTCCATTCAAGACGTACTAGAAGCGTCCATGTAGAGTAGGCAGTGCCAGTTACTTCGAATATGAGCAAAAGCCTCGTTCCTACACCGAACATGTCATGTGATACCGCAATCTCAACATCAGAACCTCATGGCCGTAATTCGTTGCGTCTCATTCCAAACAACTATGGTATCGCTCGCTTGGCGCCTTGCAGACTGAATCCCTAACCCATACCAATAACCCAAAATAATGCAATGCCTAAAACAACGCCTAATGCCCACAAGGCCGAAGCCTACTAAGCAATACCCTCCATACCCATGGGTACCTGGAAGCCACTCAAACCCTCTCCAGCACTCGTCAACCTCGCGCAAAGACTCAAGAAGACTACTGTTTCGGTGGCAGCGAGGTAGTTGAGTGTATCCAGCAGGATCTTAAGATGCCGGGTGAAGTTCTCCTCGTACTTGGCTAACATGTCGAACATCTTGTCGACGCGCTGGGGGTCGTATACGAACTGCGTT